TGAATGTTTTTAAGGGTGTTGAATGGTATTCTGCCCATTCAAAGTTAAATTCTACTGCACTCGTCTCTCTTAATCTACTAACATCACTAATCCCAGTGCCACAGCAGCAGGCAGGTTATAATAAACGCCTCATGCATATGATCATGTAGTCCTTCAGCAATTAAGTACCACTGTGAAACTGAGGAAATTACATTCCTGGTGAATGTGTAAGAGTTATTTTGATGCTGTAGATTTCTCAGTAGGTTGGTCTAAATTTATTGGTCTGAATCTATAGTTTTAAAAATCAAAGATACTGAATTTACAACAAATAAGACAAACTGTAAAATGAATTATGTTGCAGATAAATTTGCATCAACTCACAGAACATTTTAGCTCAGCTTAGGTAAATATACATTTCAGTGTTCATGTTTTTCACCAGGTATGGGGAAAAACATGAACTTTGTACTTTACATAAAGTGGTTGCTGCATTTGATTACATTAGACTGTGAATGTATCCCGTTCCTATAACGTCTAATTTTTGCATGTCTAACTGTGACCATTTAGTCTTTCCATTTCACTCTCCAGTGCCCAGTCGATTCCCCTCATGTCAGTCCAAAGCCAGAGTCACAGTCAGGCAGTGCTGCTAGTGATGAGGAGGATGAGACGAACCCAAGGCCCACCTGCCCCGTCCCCAGCAGAAGTACCTTTTTGTCTGTGGCTAGATCTGCATGTGAGGAGCAGGCAGCTCAGGACAGCATGCAGGGTTACAGTTCCCCTAGTACACCCACAAGAACACCCACAAGACCCCAGGCCTCAACGGGCACTTCAGTCAGCCGGGCCAGGAGGAGAGCTGTGTGCTTGAGCAGAGTGGATGAGAGAGACTGCTTCCCTTCCCCTTCGTTTCATGTAGACCTAATTGAAAGAAGATACAGGGTCAGTGAGTTAGCTAAAGGCAGCAGCATGAGGTTGTAATGTGTCAGGATTTTGGCTTCTACAAGTTTAGGGTGTGGGGTACCCTGCCCCCCAAAATGTATAAGTTTTATGATTTCTTTTGTCAAGCTTTGTAATGCTTTGTCAAGTTCTGTGTTTTTGTTCACTTTGGATTTTTTTTAAAAGTTATTTTCTTTCCCCTTTTTAAACCGTTTTCCTGTTGATCTGTTCAGACGACAGCACCAGTACGCCCGCGTCACCGTCGTTCCCGCTCTGCTGGTGGGGAGAAGTGGGTGGACCATAAGCCATCGTCTAGCATGGACTTGGGCACAGTTTTGCAGCCGGTCATCCCCAACGCCATCCAGGTGTCTGCACCCAGCGAGAAGGCTCTGTCCAAGTGTGACAGATACGTGCTAACGCACCAAGAAGTTGCCTCCGACGGCGAGATACAGACCAAACTTATAAAGGTCAAGTATGCAGCGCAGCATATTACTGATATTCAGAATGATATATTTGGTTACACTTCCTTACTCATGCAGACATTTATGTTAGCAAGTTTTCAGCAAACCAGCAGCATATTTGCCAACTTGAGTTTGAGTCAGTGTGGTTTTGTAACTGTTTGTTTTACACTTTGCTCGAATAAGTTTGTTCGTTTTAAGAAGTGAATTTAAATAATTTCTATAAAGTGGTTCTCAATGTTCTGTTGCATGATTGTAGTAGCGTGCATGCTTATCCTTAGAAAGGAAACTCTTGTGATGGTTGAATTACTGATCACAAGAAGGGCTTCGCACTGTATTAAATATTAAATAACAAAGATATCTAATGGTGGTTCTTTTTGTTTTTTTTTTCTTTAGGGCGATGTCATCAAAACGAGAGGAGGGGGGCAAGCTGTCCAGTTCACTGACATTGAGACACTGAAACAGGAGCTCACTACAGTCCCAAGGTAATAATTTATAACCTTAACCAAAAAAATATATATATATATTGAAATGTTTAATACAGGTGCTTGAAATCCTTGAATACACTTGAATTTTAATATTGTCAAGGTTGTTTTTTTTTTGGTTTTTTTTGTGGCATATAGGAAATAAGCATCAGTATCTGATGAGACTTATTCTTATTTTTTGGGTGTTTGGTGCAGTTTTCTTGTTTTGTTGTTTCTCAGCAGGAGGTGAATATCTCGAACAAGTTGATTTATTCACATTTGCACATCTTAATTTTTAAGTGAAATGTGCATTTTGAGTTTATGCACTTATAAGGCAACCCTTTCCTTTTGCAGTATTTTTGTGTAGTGTTTTTCTATGTTTTAACAAAAGGGGAACAAAGGCATTTAATAACAGGATAACAAAAAAACTGGATTTGCTTTCTGTGCTGGCCTTGTTCTGTCTGGATACCAGACAGATAACAGACAGGAACCGGTATCCAGTTCCTGTCTGTCTTTGACTGAGATCAACTTGACAGCTCAGTTGAGCAAAGACGCTCAAAAAAAAACAAACAAACTAGTATTGTTAATATTGTTATTGTTGTTAATATTGTTAATAATTGTACATGCATTACCTAACGTGCCTCCTGAGTCTTACATTTTTCTTAAGTTGTTAAATATGATTCCAAACTGCTGAAGGTGTGCTAATGTTTTTACGTATCAATCTCTGAAGGCGGAAGAGGAAATCTTCAGAAGGCGTGTCAGCCAGTGGAGATGGAGCTTTGACTGATGTGGAGACGAGGGTAAGCTGATTTAAAAAATTCTCCTCAGATTCGAGGCTGAGCTATTCAGAACACTTGCAAATAGATTTAGGTCCTAATCTTTTCCCTCTTCGCAGTGCTCTGTGGCTGTGGCGATGAGGGCTGGATCAAACTTGGGACCTGGGTTGGAGCATCATGCAGTCACCAAGTAAGCTGTCAACTTTCTGCATCGCCTCTGAGTAAAGTGTTGTTTTCACTCAGAATACATAACTACAGATTGTGATTCACTCGGTTTTCTGTTACAGGCGCAGAAAACCCTAAAAGCTGCTGACAGATCAACAGTAACCACTCCCCTTTATCCTCACCTGGCTGTTGTGCAATAGTCTGACCTCTGTTTTTATATTTAGTTCTAGTGATGATATTTAAATGCTTTCCATCTTTTTATATAAATAAACAGAAGAGTATATACATAGGTCACCAAAACATTGTTGTGTAAAATAACTATCTATTTACTCAGATATATGCATCTTTAGTTACTGTGGCTCTACAGCTAAACAAAATTCTGTTTGCACATATTTTACTCTGCTCACGAGTTATTGTAAAACCTCCACAGTAATGATTTTTGTCTCATGTATACAATTTGTCTGATTTTGGTGAATTAAACTGAGCTTCAAGTTTGGAAAAAGTGTTTTTGTTTTCATTTTATAATTTTCTCACTTTTCTTCACTACACTGAAAAAAAATCCAATAGAGTGGTTCCTGAATTTGCATATAAGGATTTTGTGTATCCAGGTTGACTAATTTGAATTTCCCATCTAAACATAATTGAGTCTTTTAATGCTAACATATTCTGTAAGGATGTTCAGTCTATTAGATCAGAGCATATGTTCCGCTGCCCCTCAAGTGCTATAAATGGCAAAGATATGGGCACATCACTACAGTTTGCAAATGGGAAATGGGTAGTGTGTGTGGAGGTGAACACAGATATGAGGAATGTGGTGATAGTGTAGGATAAATGCAGTAACTGTGGGGGGCAGCAAGGGGTAAGTTATGGGGTTGTTAAGTCAGAAAGAAGGCCATGGAGGTCAAACAAGTTAAAGTAGTTCACATCGTAAGTTACACCGAGGCTGTCAAGAGGGAACAGAAGGCACAGGAAGAAACAGGAAAGGCTCAACCGATGTCAACATCAGATTTCGTGCAGACACATGGAACTCATACAGGACTGACAGTGGAGAAGATGATTTTGTTTATTGCCTATGTTATAAATTGCATAGATCAAGTGAAACACAAAACAGAAACTTATAATAATTGTGAAAGGAGCAGAGAGGTCTTTTGGCATTAAAGATATATCTCGGGAACATATCAATATAAGACTTGGAGGAGAGGGAGATGAGAGGACAGTATGATCACTGTGGAACGCCACAAGTTTGATTGCAAATGGACAAGGGCTCAAAGGATTCATCAAAAAATGCGAAAATAAATAATCTGTATTCAGAAGACCTGGCTTAAACCTACTTTGGATTTTGTTATTAAAGGTTATGATGATGTCCGGAGAGATAGAAATGAGGGTAATGGAAGAGGGTTTGTAAAATTTGTAAAGCAAGGAACCCAATATAGAGTCCTAGCTATAGGAACACAGAATACTTTGTAATGAAAATCTGGTCAAGATATAGTAGCATCAGAGTAGTCAATTTTTTGAATCCGGGTAACACTGTTATCAGTAGAGGAACTTGGCACATATTTAAGTGGGAAAGTAATATGGTGTGGGGACTTTAATGCACACAGCACATTATGGGGTAACTGTAAGGATCAGAATGGAGCAGTGATTGCTAGAGATAAAAAAAAAAATGTGTGTCTGAATGATGGAAGTGGTACAAGAGTGAAAGTTGGAACAGGTGCAGAATCAGCAAGTGACATTACATTAGTGTCACACTCATTGGCAGGTATTTATTCATGGCAGGTAATAAAAAAAGACAACTGTAGGCAGTGACCATAATCCTATAATGACTGAGATAGAGCTGAGTGTAGAGAAACATGACATAGGAGTGTGCAGAAGTGGTGTTTCAGTAATGCAGATTGGGATACATTTTGATTAGTTAGTGAAATGCAAAAGATTGATATGAATGTTGGGGTTGATGATTTAAATTATTCTATTTGTAAGGCAGTTTTAGAGGCAGCAAACTGGGCGATAAAGAGGAAAGAAGGGAAAAGAAGATTGTATCTTGTTGGACAAAGGATTGTGATAAAGTGATTAAATAAAGCTTTTAACATATTAAAGAGGAATCACAGTTTTCAGAATTTCATTGAATATAAAAAATAGTAAGAAGAACAATTAAAAATGCAAAGAGGGACTTCTGGAGGGGTTTTTGTAATCCAGTAGGGAGGGAGACAAAAATACACAATGTTTGGTCAATGATTAGAAGGATGAATGGTATAAAAAGGGAGTATGGATATCCAATCTTGAGAGATGGAAAGGCAACAGCATTAAAAGATGAGGAAAAAGCAAAACCTTTGTTAAAATCCATAGTTCAGGCAATGCTAGTGGAGAAGGGCAAAGTGGAAGAGAAATGACAACCATAGAGAATAAGGATTTACTGAAACAAGTAGAAGATACAGATGGTTTATTAAATATTACTTTTACAAAGTCAGAATTGAATCGAGTTCTTTGGAAATCCAAATTATAAGCACCGGAAAAAGATCAGGTTTGCTATATCATGATAAACCATCTTAGTGAGTCAGCTAAAGATCTTTTGTTAGAGTTATATAACAGAGTTTGGGAGGGTGGAAAACTGCCGCAAAGCCGGAAGGAGGCAGTAGTTGTGCCCATAGGTAAGCCAAGAAACGATGGTAAAAATCCAGGAAATTGCAGACCTATAGCTTTAATATTTAACGCCTGTAAAATAAATGTGCAGTGTATAAGACAAAGACAATATTTATTTCTACAAGGAAAAGAGTTGGTGAGGAAGCCAAGCTAAAGTAATATGGTAAAGAGTTAGAAAGAACAAGTAAATTTAAGTTTCTGGGATTGTGGCTGGATATAACATGGGCTGTACACATTCAGAAAATAGTGGATAAATGCAAAAAGGTATTAAATATAATGGGATGTTTAGTTGGGGTGGACTGGGGAGCGGATTGGAAGTCTTTGAGGGCCATACACACTGGGTTGATTAGATCAGTGTTAGATTATGGATGTGTAGCATATAATTTCGTGGCTGACACAAGTCTTTTAAAGTTAGACTTCAGTCAGTATCAGGCACTAAGACTCTGCACAGGTGCATTTAAAACAACCTCAACAGCAGCTTTACAGGTAGAGATGGGTGAGATGCCACTAGGAATCAGAAGAAAACAGCTAACACTCAATTACTGGGCAAATCTACAGGGACATGGACAGGATCGCCCAACACAAGAGATACTGAAACCTTGCTGGGAGGAAGGGCATTTAGTTTAAACTCACATACAGGTTTACATTGACCAGTATTATAATTATGTACAAATATATACAGATGCATCAAAGAATACAACCAGTCAAACCAGTGTTGTTCTGGAGTTTAAAGTCAAAATAGGGAAAAGGATCAATGATGGACTGTCGGAGAAGGAGACTGGAGAAATGCTCACAATTCTGTTAGCTGTTCAGTGGATAGAAGACACGAGGCTGTTACAATCAGTCATTTGTTCAGACTCAAGCTCGTCATTGGCCAGTTTACAGTGTAGCCACTCGGAAAGTAGAGCAGATGTTCTAACAGGAATTCAGGAAACACTTTACATAATACAAATGATGGGACTTACAGTTGTCTTTTTATGGATTACGGCTCACTGTGGAGTAAAAGCAAATGAAATGGCAAATAGAGCTGCGAAGGAAGCCACAAAACATGGGGTAGTTGACCTGGTTATTAACTTCTGTAAGACAGAGATAAAGAGTATTGTAAGGCAAGAAATGAAGAAAAGATGGGAAAACAGTGGGAGGGGGAAAGGAGGGGACTCTCCTATAAAATTTAGCGGAGAGTAGGAGAAATGAGAACCACAGGAAGGAGTAGGAGAAAGGAGGTGGTACATATCGTGGTCATATCGAGAATAAGACATACTGGTTTGAACACTACACTATTCATGATAGGGAAACATAATACAGGGAAATGTGACTACTGTGGAGAAGAGGAAACTAGAGAACATGTTATATTACACTGTCAGAAGTATCAGGTGGAGAAAAGACAACTGACCCGAAACCTCAGAAACATAAAAATGAAGCTAGATCTTATTGATTTACTGCAAATGGTCTCAAGAAGTGAAAGTTATCAGGCCTTAATTCAGTTTTTAAAAGAAAGTAAATTGTTTGGGAGGATTTGAGGGGTTTTTTGGTGGCGGTAATGCATCCTTCAGTTGTTTCCCAACCGCCAATCAAATTTAAAAGAAGAAGAAGAGGCGTCGAGGTGGAGGGACGATTTAAAACTAGACAAATAGAAACGGTGAATTCAGCATAGGTACCACGTTACAATGACGAGAGAAGTGTAAGTATAGGTTTATATTATATATGTTGCAGGCAGGCTATATTGTTTGTGTGTATTACCCTGTCACTAAATGGTGAATTTAAGTTTAAGGAGTTAACAACGGACGCTGACGCTCTGCTTTACTGTTAGCAGGGGGCTAATTAGCCATCTAGCAAGTGGCTTTGTTAAGCCATTATAAAGTAATTAATTGTTAACGCTTACGCTTCTGTTTGAATTGTGAATGACTTTGTATTTATTTACTTTTACAGGAAGGTTAAAACCCCCAGCAGGCCTCCTCCAAAAAAACCCTCCAGCAACCAGACGGACCCAGTTGGGGTGAGTGTCCCTGAATTCTTAAAGAAGGTCAACTTGGCAGACAGCACAGATGTGAATCTCATACATTCCACTGGGTGGGAAAAAAATTCCAGTAAGGGAATGTTTAAACCTAGAGTGGAGTCATTTACTGACAGAGTGAAAATTCTTCTGGACAGTTTCTCTTCAACCTGAATGTGAGCCCACAGTTTCGTTCTGCACCCATCAGTTTTCTTCCTCAAAGGCAACAGATTTAGACTTTTTCATCTGGAAGAGTTTTATTGAGAGGAGTGCCACCTGACTGCCATCTAACTGAGCTTTTAAACTTTAAGACAGCAGTGAAACCTGCTATGATGTATGGTTTGGAGACAGTGGCACTGACAAAAAAGATGGGAGGCAGTGCTGGAGGTGGCCGAGTTAAAGATGTTAAGATTTTCATTGAAACTGACCAGAATGGCCAAGAATAGAAATGAGTATCAGACAAACAGCTCGGCTTGAGCTGTTTGGAAGCTCCAAAATAACCCACCGGTTTAAAAACGACTTCGATGGAGAGGGAAAAGTTAGAATGGTTGTCTGTGTCGATCCCAAGACTGATGACTATGAGGAAACCCTGGTAACTTGACCCTGCCCTCTTACTTTGTGTCTTTTTAATTAACCCGAAATTTTATTTATTTATTTATTTTCTCCAGACATAAAGGAAATGCTCTGTTTGTGTAGCTTTTGGTGCAGTTTGCAGAGATGATGCAAGTGGAGGAAGTGGCCAGGCCAGCGGACAGACCAATCTGTAGCGCTACTCCAGGCCGTCATCATAGAAACCAGGCATTCAAAGATGAGCTGTCTCACAGATTGGAAGAACGCAGTGGCCCAATAGTTCCTGGTAAAAAAAATTAATACTGTGCTTAAGTTTTTATTTATTTATTTATTTAACACCCTGGGGCGACCGTGGTTCAGGGGGTTAGGAAGCATATCTGTAACCGGAAGGTTGCCGGTTCGATTCCCGGCCTCTCTGTTGTGGTCGTTGTGTCCTTGGGCAAGACACTTTACCCTACTGCCTACTGGTGTTGGCCAGAGGGGCCGATGGTGCGATATGGCAGCCTTGCTTCTGTCAGTCTGCCCCAGGGCAGCTGTGGCTACAACTGTAGCTTGCCTCCACCAGTGTGTGAATGAATAGCGGCATTGTAAAGCACTTTGGGTGCCTTGAAAAGCGCTATATAAATCCAATCCATTATTATTATTATTATTATTATTAATCAAGTGATTAGCCTAAATTTAGGCGCACTGAAGTTTTACACTCAACCTTTTAAACACCAAGTGTATAATGAGGGTTTTTCCACTTCTGGTAATTGTTGTTATATTTAATAATCCACTGGACACATTTTTGTGTGCTTCCAAATTCAGATTATACAGCACCTTTCAAGACAAAGATCACAAAGTGCTTCACACAGAAATGTAGGACTGCTTTCCTTGCATTTGTGCAGTATCTCTAAAATTAGAAATCTCCTCTGTCAGAGGGATGCTGAAAAGTTACTTCATGCATTTATTACTATGACTCTTGTAATTCATTATCAACTTGTCCCAAAAGCTCCCTGAAAAGCCTTCAGTTGATCCAGAACAGCGAGAGTGCCAACAGCATCTCAGAAGAGGGCATATTTGCTTTTGTGGAACCAGCTCCCAGTTTGAATTTGAAACACCCTCTTTCTGCTTTTAGGATTAGGCTTAAAACTTTCTTATAGTTTGGTATTCATCAGATGACTGTAAACTGTCCATTAATTATGCGGCTTGTTTATGCTGCAATACGTCTTGGCTGCTGTGGGCTTCTTCACTAACCTCTTTTCACTCTCTTCCACAGCACATCTTTTATGCTGTCTTCCTCCCCTCATCCCCTCATTCCTATTCCTATTAAATGGAAGTTTTTCTTCCCACTGTCATCGGTTGCTTGTGAATTGTATATTAAATGGCCAGAAATGTCAGGATAATGCATCATTTCTCTGAAATTACAACAATGATTTAGATGATACTTCAAAATAACAGCCCAAATAAGATGGCTGCACAGTGGCAGCTTTTACATGGACTTTTCATTTTCATTTTATCATCTCAAGGAGAATTGTAGTTGGAGGTGGCTGTAGCTCAGGAGGAAGAGCAGGCCATCTGCTAATCGCAAAGCTGGTGATTCGAACCCTGGCTGCTTCAGTCTGGATGCCAAATATCCTTGGGGAAGATACTTTGAGCGCTCAGTGTACAAAACCGCGATATAAGAAACAGTCCATTTACCATAGTTAACTGTAGCAACATTTAAAGTATTATTCAGCCTTGTATTCACAATTTTAGAAAACTCTGGCATCAACTTACTATGTGTAAAGGTTTAATTTGAAAATGAGAGAATGCATTATTTTTCAAGAAGTTCTTTGGAAACACAAAACATGCAAATTAACAGACAAGCCAAACTCTTGCAAATGTAATTTCCATTAAAATTAAACAGAATTAATCTGAACTACTACTGTGTAAATGTTTTAACAGTATTGTGTGTGATGATAATTATTAAAAACCACACAATTGCTTTAAGGACTTGTGATTCCTTGTCTTCTGTAGACATGCCTGCTGCTGCTGCAAACACTCTGATCCTCAGTCTCCCATCTCTACCCTCCTGTGAGCTGACTGACCCACATGATGACATCACGCTGCCCAGGCTGATTGAAGCCCTGAAGAACAGGCAGAGGATCAAGCAGATGCTGATGGAGGAATACAGTAAAACAGGTGTCTGTTCTCATTTTAGCTCACCTGATACTTTTTGGCTTTGAAAGATCAGTTTTTGAATAGTTGTCTTTCTCTTGGCTCACATTTCTCTTGATGTTATTTCAGCCAACATGATGAAGCCTGTGCTCCAAGAACTGGATACCAGCCTAATTTCCAAAGACAACTTTATTCAGGAACAAAACGGCAAACTGATAGAGAAAGACAAAATCATCCAAGGCAACAAGGCAGAGATTGAACGTTTAGAGAAGAAAACAAAGATGCAAGAACACAAGGTGGGAGACTAATCCATTCACGCTGCAGATTTAAAGGTTGTCACTTTTTTTTTATTTTTAGTTTTAATGTCTCTGTTTCAGATTGACATCCTGCAGAAAACAACTAAAATCTTTGAAGATGACAAGCGCTCGCTGCAGCATGAGCTGGAAACCAGAGAGCAGAGGCTGCAGAGAGAGCTGTCAGAGAAGAGACGCATGGAGCAGCGCATGCATGGCGTGATCTCGGACACCCAGTTCAAGTGGGAGAAAGAATGTGTGAGTTTCAAATATCTTTTTTTCCTTTTATTCAACAATGTATAGATTTCCAATAAAGACCACAAACAAAAAAAGACCTACTTTGAAATGTGTGTAAAATTTAGATCTTACTATCAGTTTTGCAAACAGCCCTTGTTGGTCATTGTTTTAGTCTTTATAGAGGAAGCTAATTTGTCTTATTCAAGCAACTTGGATAATATTGCATTTGAACATTTTGCAATATCCTCACTGTGCAGGAGAGACGTGTTAATGCACTGCAGCTTGAGATGCAAAATAAGCTGTGGGTGAAAGACGAAAAGCTGAAGCAGCTCAAGGCCATCGTGACAGAGAGCAAGACTCCAGGTCGCCCTGAACCTCCACCCCGTCAGACGCAGCCACAGCCTCTACCACAACCACAGCATCAGCCCCGCTCTCAGCGACCCTCCAAAGAGGACCGCCTACCGCCAAAGAGATCAGCATCACCCTCACCTGTCCCCGTATGTTGTGTTTAAAAACCATAATGATGAATGTTTTTAAGGGTGTTGAATGGTATTCTGCCCATTCAAAGTTAAATTCTACTGCACTCGTCTCTCTTAATCTACTAACATCACTAATCCCAGTGCCACAGCAGCAGGCAGGTTATAATAAACGCCTCATGCATATGATCATGTAGTCCTTCAGCAATTAAGTACCACTGTGAAACTGAGGAAATTACATTCCTGGTGAATGTGTAAGAGTTATTTTGATGCTGTAGATTTCTCAGTAGGTTGGTCTAAATTTATTGGTCTGAATCTATAGTTTTAAAAATCAAAGATACTGAATTTACAACAAATAAGACAAACTGTAAAATGAATTATGTTGCAGATAAATTTGCATCAACTCACAGAACATTTTAGCTCAGCTTAGGTAAATATACATTTCAGTGTTCATGTTTTTCACCAGGTATGGGGAAAAACATGAACTTTGTACTTTACATAAAGTGGTTGCTGCATTTGATTACATTAGACTGTGAATGTATCCCGTTCCTATAACGTCTAATTTTTGCATGTCTAACTGTGACCATTTAGTCTTTCCATTTCACTCTCCAGTGCCCAGTCGATTCCCCTCATGTCAGTCCAAAGCCAGAGTCACAGTCAGGCAGTGCTGCTAGTGATGAGGAGGATGAGACGAACCCAAGGCCCACCTGCCCCGTCCCCAGCAGAAGTACCTTTTTGTCTGTGGCTAGATCTGCATGTGAGGAGCAGGCAGCTCAGGACAGCATGCAGGGTTACAGTTCCCCTAGTACACCCACAAGAACACCCACAAGACCCCAGGCCTCAACGGGCACTTCAGTCAGCCGGGCCAGGAGGAGAGCTGTGTGCTTGAGCAGAGTGGATGAGAGAGACTGCTTCCCTTCCCCTTCGTTTCATGTAGACCTAATTGAAAGAAGATACAGGGTCAGTGAGTTAGCTAAAGGCAGCAGCATGAGGTTGTAATGTGTCAGGATTTTGGCTTCTACAAGTTTAGGGTGTGGGGTACCCTGACCCCCAAAATGTATAAGTTTTATGATTTCTTTTGTCAAGCTTTGTAATGCTTTGTCAAGTTCTGTGTTTTTGTTCACTCTGTTTGTGGGATTTTTCCCTTTTTAAATCATTTCCCATTGATCTGTTCAGACGACAGCACCAGTACGCCTGCTGCACCGTTGTTCCCGCTCTGCTGGTGGGGAGAAGTGGGTGGACCATAAGCCATCGTCTAGCATGGACTTGGGCACAGTTTTGCAGCCGGTCATCCCCAACGCCATCCAGGTGTCTGCACCCAGCGAGAAGGCTCTGTCCAAGTGTGACAGATACGTGCTAACGCACCAAGAAGTTGCCTCCGACGGCGAGATACAGACCAAACTTATAAAGGTCAAGTATGCAGCGCAGCATATTACTGATATTCAGAATGATATATTTGGTTACACTTCCTTACTCATGCAGACATTTATGTTAGCAAGTTTTCAGCAAACCAGCAGCATATTTGCCAACTTGAGTTTGAGTCAGTGTGGTTTTGTAACTGTTTGTTTTACACTTTGCTCGAATAAGTTTGTTCGTTTTAAGAAGTGAATTTAAATAATTTCTATAAAGTGGTTCTCAATGTTCTGTTGCATGATTGTAGTAGCGTGCATGCTTATCCTTAGAAAGGAAACTCTTGTGATGGTTGAATTACTGATCACAAGAAGGGCTTCGCACTGTATTAAATATTAAATAACAAAGATATCTAATGGTGGTTCTTTTTGTTTTTTTTTCTTTAGGGCGATGTCATCAAAACGAGAGGAGGGGGGCAAGCTGTCCAGTTCACTGACATTGAGACACTGAAACAGGAGCTCACTACAGTCCCAAGGTAATAATTTATAATTATAAAAATGTCTTGAATTTGCACCCTAAAAAAATGTTTAACATTTTTAGATGTGTTACCTGACCATATAATGTTCCATATGGTGAGCTGGATTTCTGGATACTGCCACATTATCAAAAAACCGATAATACTTTTCTTCTTCTTAATAGAAAATAAGACTTAACCACCAAGTTTATTTCCATTCTGGAATGTTATAATCGTTGTGTTGCTGAGGTTTAAATATATTTCACTCTGTAATAACGGGATAACAAAAAAAAACTAGGGTTTGCTTTCTGTGTTGGGATTGTTCTAGAGTACGTCTTTGACTGAGATCAACTTGATAGCTCAGTTGAGCAAAAACTCATCTCTTATTCTATTTAATTCATAACAGCAGGACACAGCATCGGACATTTTGATTATCTTATTTCACTACTGCTGTGAATTTTGTAAAAAAAAAAAAAAAACTAGTATTGTTCATATTGTTAATAATTTTACATACATTACCTAACGTGCCTCCTGAGTCTTACATTTTCTTAAGTTGTTAAATATGATTCCAAGCTGCGGAAGGTGTGTTAATGTTTTTACGTATCAATCTCTGAAGTTGGAAAAGGAAGTCTTCAGAAGGCGTGTCAGTCAGTGGAGATGGAGCTTTGACTGATGTGGAGACGAGGGTAAGCTGATTAAAAAATTCTCCTTCTAGTATCAGAATCAGGCTGAGCTATTCAGAACACTTGCAAATAGATTTAGGTCCTAATCTTTTCCCTCTTCGCAGTGCTCTGTGGCTGTGGCGATGAGGGCTGGATCAAACTTGGGACCTGGGTTGGAGCATCATGCAGTCACCAAGTAAGCTGTCAACTTTTTGCATCGCCTCTGCTCTGAGTAAAGTGTTGTTTTCAGCAGAATACATAACTACAGATTGTGATTCACTCGGTTTTCTGTTACAGGCGCAGAAAACCCTAAAAGCTGCTAACAGATCAACAGTGACCACTCCCCTTTATCCTCACCTGGCTGTTGTGCAATAATAAAAATAATATTAATAAAAAAAATGTATTTAAAAGAGCCTTTCAAGACACCCAAGCACACTTAACAATAGAATAAAACACATAAACTGAGGGAGAGAACAAGTGTTTCTTACATCTGGGGCTAGAGAGTTCCACAGCCTGGGTGCAGAGCAACTGAAAGCTCTTTTTCCCATAGTGCTGAGGTGGAAAGAAGGCACAGCAAGCTGGATAGAAGAGGTAGTGCTTAACAGGTCAGAAAGGTAAGCTGGTAGGAGGGGGTTCTTGTAATAATCCGGAGTTTTGAACCAGTTGAAGCTTATGGAGGAATTTTTGGGGGAGACCATGCAAGAGAATTGCAATAGTCAATGCGGGAAGTAACGAGAATGGGCGTAGACTGGGTGGGAAAGAAGGACGTAATCGGTTAATGTGGATGGAAATAGGCAGAACAAGTGAGATTACTGATGTGAGATTTCTAGGATAGTGAACTGTCTAGGATGACACCACTGCTCTTAACCTGAGTTGAAGGGAAAACTGTGGAGTTATCAATAGTGAGTGAGAAATGATTTGGCTTCTAAAGGTTAGATTTAGTGCCAATAAGGAGGATTTCAGTTTTATCCTCATTGAGTTTAAGAAAATTAGAGCTGAACCAGGATTTTAATTCGGATAGGCATTCTCCAAGGGAAGAAGGTGGGAGGGAGGAGGAATCAGGCCTGCAGGAGAGATAGAACTAGATGTCATTAGCAAAACAGGTAAACTGAAGATCAAATTTGATTCCCTAGAGGGAGGATGTATATTATGAAGAGAAGATGGCCTAGACTGACCTTCAATGCTTAGAGGTCAATGGTAAACCATGGAGCAGAACACGCGAAGGAAACTGGGTTTTTACAGCAACTAGAGAATCAAGGACATTGAGTAAACAATTATTATAATTATGGGTGGGAATTTAACGCGTTAATAGCGATCAATTAATTGGAAAAATAACGTGTTAAAAAAATTAACGCATTTAATCGTACTTTGCATTCCAAGCAAAGGGGAACTTTTGTCAATGCACGATTTTACAGCTACAAAAATGAAGAATCAGAAGATAGCACGTTACTACGACTGATCGGAGGCAAATGTCATTTAAAAAGACTACCCCACAAACTGCAAAAAAGAGTTTGCATACCACCAAAGCACTTCAACCTTACGGTATCATCTAAATGCGTAACATGTTGCAACAAGCACAGAAACTGTGGGAGCTGTTAGCGCTAGCTTTCTGCCTGCTTTCTGCCACCTGCATCACACCATGGACCAGCTTTGAGGCCCTGTTGCAGGAACAGTGTGACGATGCCACCACAAAGAGCCGCCTCTTCTCTTCATTGTCCTGTGTAACAGGGCCCTGAGTTTCTACAGAGCAGAATCATCCATCAGTGAGACAGACTTTCCACGCTTCAGTGGTGTTCCAGTCAAGCAGCAACCCACCCAAAGCTGTCTGTCCTGGCCCGGAAGTATTTCATTAGTCCTGCCATTTCTGTCCCACGTGAGAGACTGTTCTCACCTGCAGATCACATAGTAACAAAAATAGAGCTGCCTTGAGCTCTAAAAATGTGAACAGGCTAGTTTGTCTAAGTAACTGGCTGAAAGAGACGGACAGTAAATAAGCATGGAGGTATTGTGAGTCCAATGGGTTTGTTATTTTTTGCAATAAAATGTTTGATGATCACCGTGTTTTAGCCTAATATACAAAATAATGTTGGCTAAAGTTACTCAGAGTTTAAAGGTGAAGCTGGTCAAATAAACTTTTATGTTTCTGCCTTATTTTTGAAGAAGAAAAGCTGCACTTTATGTTGAAATTGTTATTATTATTATTATTCTTTTTTAAAGACAATACCATTTTGAAAATGTACTTAAAGTACTTAAAATGGCACTTTGTCTGCCCAATTTTGGCCAGGGATATTTTTTTTCTCTGTTTTGCATTGAAATGCAGTTTAAATGCTTTTTTCATGTCCATTTCATCCATTGTATTTACCAACATCAAGAAGTCACAAGCAAAGATAGACCACACCACAGTTTAAATAAGGAAAGTTTATTGATGAAAATTATTTATTAAACAAATAAACATAATTTTTTCACACTGTCATAATAGAGGTTATAATGAAGCAGTTCATTTTATTTGGTTGATTCAAGCTGCTCTTCATATTTTTGGCCACCAGATGTCACCAGAGAGGACTGTTGAAAGGCTTCGAGTAATGAAGCGTTTCAATGCTTCAGAAAGCTTCATTTGGCCATCACTACAGTAGCACCAGCGTTCCTGCTTGAGTGAAGTGAAGGCTTCAGGCTAAATGCTTTTCATGTTTTTATATAAATATGCAGAAGAGAATATACCTAGGTCACCAAAGTTTGTTTTGGCATATAACTATCTGTTCACTCAGGTATATGCATCTTTAGTTACTGTGGTTCTACAGCTAAAAAAAAAAATCTGTTTGCACATATGTTAATCTGCACACAAGTTATTGTAAACCTGCCCTGTAATGATTTTTGTCTCCTGTATACAATTTGTCTGATTTGGTGAAATGAACTGAGCTTCAAGTTTGGAAAAAGTGAGTTTCTGTCTTCATTTTACTCCTTTCTCACTTTTCTTCACTAGATGGCAGCACAGGAACGCAAGACAATTATAAATCCTCAGTCACTGGGTGGATGACTGCAAGCAGGCCTCTAGTACTGCACTATTCTGTAGGCATGAGAACAATACACCACGCAAAGAGGATCATTTTTTTTTTATGTAAACAAATTTTAGACCTTGTTTTTGTTTGTTTGTATTAAAGAATCACTGACAGGCAGGTATGTTGAAACAAATGTTTATCTCACAATTATAAAATGAGATTTAATGTTAAGCGAGTGCACTGGGTGGCCGGAGTAGTGCAACATTCTATCATACAAATACACTTAGATTTTAGTTTGCTGAGACTGCTTTTCTGTGCTTAATAAGATGCTCATTATATTAAATAGGGCACCGACATCATGTGCTTCCATTGTGGAAAAATTAATTGAGCATCAAAAACAAGCTGATTTTCTGAGAATTATTTCAAGACACACAAAGTGCCTCATGACCTTGAACACTGTTTATCATAAGGTTTATCATCTTCACACTCTTTTCACACAAAGAAATAACTTCTTACAATACGGCCATAGAAGTCAAATTTCCACTTCAACATCTGAACAAGTGGTAGATTTGGCAGCCTCCTCCCCAAAATCAGTATTCCAGGAAGCAGACTATTTCCTGCTTTGTGCCACATGCGACTAACAGCAACTGTATCCTATGTGATGCTCCCAAGATTGTCTAAGGTTAATGTGAGAAAACAGCTTGAAGGGAAACAGAAAAATATCTGTCCAGTACAATACACCTGTAAATCTGGTAGAGTAGAACTTTGAGAAACATACCTCAGTACTCAAGTGAAGTACACGTACCTCAAAGCTTTTCTCAATACCACTATTTGAGGACAACATATGATGTAAATTATAAGCAGACAGGAGTTTGAAAATACGAGTAACTGTCTTATGAGCCAAGCACCGCCGGTGTGATGACCAGCTGAAGCTAGTGGTATAGTCATCCAGGCTTTGAGTAGACAGTTGAAATCTCATCTACTACCAGTCTGGCTGAGTTTCAATTGGAAAGCGCTGGAGAGTGACTAACATGGAGCCTCTTGGAGAGGGTCAAGAGCCCAGAGCAACCAGTGGCCATTAAATTCACTCCTATGAGATACTGAGTGCTTTGCTTTTTGACCAGGCTCTGTTTGATGTGCTGTACTGCATTATTATCCCCGGCTCCTCACCGCATGCCCTCCACCACCAAGTGGTGTGAGCATTATAAAGATGTTATTATGAAGCTCCTGTTGAGCCCCTGATCAACATTGCCAGTTTTCAAAGAGACACTTGAGGGAAATAAATGAAACTGCACATAGAGACCTGCCATAAACACAGGCCGACTGTCAAAGACAAAGCTCCTCATCCAGCTGTACTGTGAGACTACATCTTTCTGTATTCCACAGCTTTGAGCTTATGATTATGCATTATGCTGCTTATCAATGTTATTAAACTTGCTGAAGGGAATTCTGGGGTTCTACTTGAATACACAGTCAATTAGACTGTCTCAGATTTTAAAAGAGCAGCCCTAATTGCAGTGTTTTATTGACTCTTTGCTTGAATGACTCTGATAAAGAGGTCTTAAGCTGCCTTTTGGCACAGGGAGGATGAAGTAATTTTCACAGCCATCTAGGATGCTGATGAGGGCCATTCATATTTCAGTTATTCAAAATAGCATCGCCCACTATATTACCTGTCATGCAATAATTTCCTCTCAAGTCCTTTATGATTGAAAGAGCATCACTGAGCCAAAACATTATGACCGATAGCAGAGGAAGAAAATGGTGTTAATTAGGCTCTAACAGCATATGATGTTTGTTGGATATTAAGTTCTGGCTTACTGTGACGTTTCCAAAAGGATTTCTTAGAATTGATGCCTCACTGAGCTGTTTTGGTGAGCGACAGCATGTTAGACAGACTGGTCATAATGTTGTGGCTCATCAGAGTATAATTTCTGCTTTTATTATATGTTGTTGTACTGACTGATAGATTAGGAGCCTGCCTTTGGTCACCAGCACCTAGAAAACAAGCTGCCAACCCAACAGTGACATAGCTTCAGCTATTACATTTGTATGATGAACTTGTTGGCAAACAGTTGCCTGTTTACACATTCAGCACAATGCTAATGTGTTCACTACACGCGAGCGATCATGTTTGCATCCATCTGGCACATTAGCTCAAAAATCCACTCCTCCTGGTCTGTTTTTGGTCTTGGCTCTTTAGCAGCTAGAACGCCGGACAACATTCACAGGCTCGTAGCTGCGTTGGGTTGGTGTTTGACACAGAACAGGTTGCGTAAAGTAAGGGATGGAAATCGCGAAGCAGTAACAAATTTTTCAATCCAACCAGATTTTCACTGCTTTTCAATACCAGCCTATAATTTTTTGATAGCCAAGCTCTGCAAAACAACATAATACTCATAATACAGTGTACCTGGGTCATGTGAAAGCCTATTCAGAAATAAAACAGCTGTGTTGTTGATGAA